TGTCGGGAGACCCGCAGTCCAGAGACCGGCTGTCGGGAGACCCGCAGTCCAGAGACCGGCTGTCGAGAGACCCGCAGTCCAGAGACCGGCTGTCGAGAGACCCGCAGTCCAGAGACCGGCTGTTGAGAGACCCGCAGTCCAGAGACCGGGAGTCAAGAGACCGGCTGTTGGGAGACCGGGAGTCAAGAGACCGGCTGTCGGGAGACCGGGAGTCAAGAGACCGGCTGTCGGGAGACCCACAGTCTAGAGACCGGCTGTCGGGAGACCCACAGTCTAGAGACCGGCTGTCGGGAGACCCACAGTCGAGAGACAAACAAACGAAACCTTCACTGCATGACAGAGGTGTCACAGGGGAGCTTCAACAGCGCGGCAATGGCCATTAAAAACGCAAAGATGCCACTGGGGGAAAGCGGACAAAAAGCCTTGGAGGTATTCTGGGAGTCGAAGCGGATCGACAAACAGCACTGGGTCACTGCTCAGCCTGCAGTCCAACACCAGGGGCCCCTCTTCTCGCTCAGCCTAAACCAGGATAAAATCCAGCCTTGAGGCTGACAGATGTGTCTTTAAGAGATTCTCCAGAGCAAGGCTCCGCAGCTCCCAAAGCAGAAATGTAATTTACACGGCTTGATATTAGAGCGCATGTTATGATCTGATGTGAGAAACCTTCATTTAAAGTAGATGAGCACCCCCTCCTTATTTAATATGGTCTTCCTGTGACTGCTTAATGTGAGCAGAAGGGCAAGATGGCTCAGCTAAGCAGCACAAACAATGTGATCTTCTAGAGTCTGAGGAGTCCTGCGTTTAATTAGTCCCACGGGATTCACGACACAACTTTAAAAGATGCTTAGGAATGCTGTGTAAACGCTGTACAAGTATCCGCTCCCTTTCATGTGCAGAATCTGCGAAAATATCACCATCAGAGCTGAAAACAGCAGCACAGGGTCAAAGGAAAAAGATCCAGGTTTTCCGAAGAATTTAACAAAACTTCCCTATAAGAAGTACAAGCATCCCTATAAACTGGGCTTGGAAAGTACATATATGTAAAACAAAATTTGATTTTATTCAACAGTTCTGTTTTTTCATCCCCAAGACACACTGGGTATGTCATTATACTCAGTTCTGACTATACGAGAAAAGCACCATCGTTTCCCTAACCTTCAGCACGGCCAGCAGAAGACACGGACTAGCTCTGCGCTCTGGGCCTGCCTGCGTCCGAGATGTGATGATGGAGAGCAAACCAACAGGGAGCTTGCAGTAGGAACCAAGATAGTACGACATAAGGCAATTAAAAATGTGCTGCAACGTAAAACAGCAAAAGGGGGAGACAGATTTATATCCTTCGAGACGTACAATATGCCAGTTCTATGTAGGTGAAATGAGTCATAACCTGGCGTTACAGCTGAGTGCTCTATGCTCTGTGCTTGTTAGGAGTGTTTATTGAACTGTTGTGACTTGGATTTGGATCCTTTCCGGGTTTATAGAATGATTCCACACCTATCTGAGCGCCCTTCCACTTCACCAAGATTAGGACCAGTGGCTGTGCAGGAGGCAGGACAAGAGTGCTGTCGGTCGTCATGTCTCACGAGGCCAGTGACTGGCGGAAGAGGGGCCCCACTAGGCCCGCCGGGGGGAGGGAGAGCTCCCATAGACAGCAGCACTCTCACCTGGGGTTCGTGAGGTTGTAGCAGGACTTCCAGATCTGGAGCATGTGCTTACAGGTCAGGAGGGCCTCATCCGGCCCCCTGCAGACGGTTTCCAGTTTCACCTTGGTGAACAGCAGTCTGGAACACAGGAGACAGCAGAATTTCATTAACTTCGAAAACACTCCTTTTACATTTGTTTTTAACTCGTAATTCTGCCTCAGAACCCTTTAACTGGACTTGTGTCAAGTATAGACCGTATTCATCTATTATTAATGTTACTAGAAAAAAACATAATGACTAAAGGGAGACTTCTTTATGGATGGTCAACTTTTATTAAGTGATGGGAGGAACCTGCAAATAAAAAAAGCAGTGCCAAGACCAATTATTTTAAAATTAATAACCCTTCCGAGTTTAAATGCATTTGCTCATCTGCCTCACCAAACATGTAGTGTACAGCAAAATCACACAAACTAAGAAAACGTCTTCTTAGTGTAAAATTAACTGTAGGCCCCTTTCTATTCTTAGAAAAACATAAGAAACAAATATGTGTTTACTGTAAGTTTTAGCATGACTTGTAAATTGCAGTGAATGCGTTAACTACAATCATGTTCCTACTATAAAAACTTTTCACTAGAATTCCACTGATCCAGAAACACTGATTGTCGGTGCACTGTGCTGGGCCTGCCCACACAACACCACTGCCAGGGACATCAGCTCCAACTCCAGGAGGGTCACAGAGAAAATCTGACTGCGCATGAGCCATGTTCATCCTCACAGGCTTCTGACTGGGGGCACATACATCCCTAATGGACATACTGTACAGCCCAACCATGCTGGTGAGAAAAGGGATTGTTTTTCCTTCATTTTACAGCTGAGGCAGCGCATAGTAGCGAGCTACTTCCTCCTCAGGGAGAGAGAGAGAGCTTAAACTATTGGACACATCTAAATTTACACAGAAAACCCACGGCGTAGAATTATAGTCACAAAGAAGCCAGGGTTATCTGAAATAGATCTGTGACAGAGCCCATCACGTGCAAATTAAAAACCAAGAAAAAAAAACAAACAAAAAAACCAAGAAAAGTTCTATTTCTGATAACCCTCCATTCTGTAGCTACCTCCTGCTGAAGTGCTGTGTCAGCCCTCCCTGTGGGTCTGCTCGCGCTGTTTTAATTAATAATGCCAGCTGTGGTGCTCCAGCTGCCCAGCAGAATGTGCACAGCCCGAAGCAGACGGCTGCTGGACCCTGGACCCTGGACCCTGGACCCTGGACCCTGGACCCTGGACCCTGGACCCTGGACCCTGGACCCTGGACCCAGGACCCAGGACCCGAGCAGGTTTACCAGCGAACAGCTACTGGCCAAGCCAGTCTCTGGACTTCACAGCCGGCACCTTGAATCCCTGAGGCATGCGCCTGTCTAATCAGCACATGTGAGCAGGAAATCAAAACAGCTAAATCAGAAAAAGAAAAGACAAATCGACTCTAACAATTATAAGGGGGACTTACGTAATTAAAGAGCTGCCTTGAAGCCTTAACAAATTTTTGTTTTACATTTTGTGTGCACAAGAGAGGCTGGAATCTTGGCAGAGTGCTAAACATTTGATGAGCAACAGTGGGAGAATTGTGAAGGGTCCGAATACACATACATGGCTCCTCCATGCCCCCCAAAACAGAGCCACAGATATGCTTAAAATGAGGTGACAGAACTGGTTGAGCGTTCTTTGCTTTCGAGGCGCACACACACTGAGGGCCGGGGCTCACATGAAGTTCTCGGGGTACTCGCTGAGGGCCATCTCGATGATGTTGAGGGCGTCGTGGTAGTGCTTCTGCGCGGACAGCAGGAGGGCCAGCAGGTGCAGAGAGTGGGCGTCGTCCCCCTGCAGCTGCAGGGCCTGTCGCACGTAGCCCAGCGCCTCGGGGATCTGCCAGGCACAGAGCGCAGCGCTCAGCCTCCGGCCGACGGCAGGCGACAGAGAACAACATACAGCGCAGCCGGCGGTGAGGGACTCTGAGTGGCGCGGAAAGCCAAACTCGCCAACTAGTCCGATTCGACCCCGGGCAGAACGGTGGCTCTGTGGCTCAGGATCTGCGCCTGTGGCTGGAAGGTTGCTGGTTCGAATCCCGCAGCCGGCAGAGGAATCCTACTCTATTGGGCCCCTGAGCAAGGCCCTTAACCCCAGCTGCTCCAGGGGCGCCGTATAAATGTCTGACCCTGCGCTCTGACCCCCAGCTTCTCTCCCTGTCTGTGTGTCTCATGGAGAGCACGCTGGGGTCTGCAAGAAGACACATTCCTAATGCAAGAAATTGCATATGGCCAATAGAAGTGATCTCAACCCTTTTAAAAAAACCCTACTAATTCTCCTATAGTAGTCCTATATTTTAAATACTGTATAAGTAAAAATACTGTAAATACAAGTAATCACTAACTCGCTCTTGCAGGCATGCTTGACGAATATTTCAGAGAATCAAGCATTTTTTCCATGTTTTTAATGTTTATTTTCCGGAGCTGACTGCGTAAAGCTGTGAGCAAGTAAGCTGAGAGTCGACTGTACATCCGAACACTTTTTTCCCCCTTTGAACAAAAAAAAATATAATTTGGACATTCTAAATATCTTCACCCATGAGACACTGAAGAACGGATTCTTGCAGAGAATCATCTTAAGAACCTGTTCAGGGTCTTGTGAGGTTATGAAACAATGGGCTAGTCTGTGTGTGTGGCCACTATGTCTCCACACCTGGAAAGGATCTCCATCAAGATTTAATCTGCTAGATTCCTGATCTGGATCAGTGGCCCACAGTGGCTTAAAACAGCCCCTTGCAAGCTGTAGTTTGCTTTTTTGTTTTTCCTTTCAGAAGGGCACTCTTTAATATTGGAATGAAATAATTTGTATTATTTATATTTACAATACTAATTTGAATAAATACATTAATTACGACTGAAGTTAAAATGCACAGAAGCATTTCCTAAAATGTGAGACTAAATGGATAAGAACATATGCTCAAACTTTAGCAAAATACTTACACTTTACTTACTACCACCTGTTTTTTTAGGACACATTCATTTTACGTTAGAGCCCTACATCATCTACAGATGATGTTCATTTAAACACTATATTTCCAAAGGAGGTACTGTATACACAAATTAGTATAGTAATGTAACTTGAATTGAAAGCTAGATCATAAAAATGAGTTTCAAAATGTTGATATTTAGGATTTGACACTTCTGGAGGTGCACGGTGTAATATAGGCTTGGAGATCAAGGGAATTAAGGTTTTTCAAGCCTTTGTGCCATTCTAATAATAGTATGACTCTCAAATGCATCCACACAAATAATAACTTCTCCTTTGTATCTGACATGATTAAGTGTGAATCCAGTGTTCTGCTTCACGAAGCACTAAGAAAACTGCTTAAATATCAAAAGAGGTCTGAAGTGAACTTGAAAATCTAATAGAAAAACTTCTGAATGTTGACGTTTTAAATCAATTACAGCTTTTACTGGCAATTTCTTGCATTAGGAATTTGCCTTTTCGCACGCCCCAGCTTGCTCTCCATGAGACACACAGACAGGGAGAGCAGTTGGGGTTAAGGGCCTTGCTCAGGGGCCCAACGGAGTAGGATTTCTCAGCCGGCTGCGGGATACGAACCGGCAACCTTCCAGCCACAGGCGCAGATCCTGAGCCACAGAGCCACCGCTTTGCCCTACTATTTGCAAACAATAGTGCGGTTAAATGTTTAGTTTATAGGTATTTGTCGTAGAAATTTATTTCCCATTCGAAAGTTTTACCTCCTCATTACACTACCATCACAGTTTGCCAGGGAAACAACCAGAAAATCATGTGAGATGTTTGAAGCTCAGTTGGTATTCACTCCTGACAACAGGGGGAGCATTATCTTGTACAGTAGGTTGACTTTGTGTCAGGATTTTTTTCCTTTAGATTTATGCAACGCCCCCAAACATGAATATATTCTGGAGAAGAGACAGAAACTAACAGCAGCTGCCCAGCAGTCATTGGAATATAGCAGTGCCATAGACCCGAGAGGCCCAGCTGCAGTGGAACAAATTACTAAACAATATTATGAACAAGAGCCTGCAATGTGATCACCCCCTCCATCAGACGAATATGCACGGTTAAATTTCACAGGCTCTGTGGACGTCTGGGGTAAACTGATCTTGGCGATTAACTGTGACGTCAGTGATGGCGAGTTTTCCATTAAAACACAAAGATCAAGCTTTAACACCAAAAAAAATGGAACAAAATTGCCCAATGTGTGAAGGGAGATAAAACCTTAAACAACCCGCTCCAGTGCTCTTTGAAAAGAAGGAAGAATGATTTTCACAACGCGTGAAACCTAAAAACACACTCACGCTCACTGCATACTTTCAAAGCAATGGCGAGAGTGTAAAGTGCCGAGAAATAATGGAAATCAAGATTCTAGGATAAAAACAGTAATGCCATAGGTCAGTTAAGACGGTGGTTTTGAAGCAATACGTCAAAGTTTAAAAACCTTGTCTTTCTACCTGCAACATTACTGCTCCTGAACTGTACAAACTGTACGAAGAATAAACACACATGCATAATGAATGTGCACTTTCTGCCATTTTATGAATTTACTCATTCTTTAATGGGATATCGGAGTGTTTTACAAACAGAAAAACACAAATATCCATGACAAGGAGCAAATGCTTCAAACTGCAGAAACGTACCTGCCGCGAGACAGCAAGTTGCAAGGCCAGGTAAAATACAGCAATGTGGTCTGTTGGGGACAAACTCTGGGCCCTGTGAAATACACACACACACAAACCGGCATGTGAAAGATGGGTACATTTGTCACTTTCTGCAGGTTGTTGATTTAATTATATCTAGCGGGATTTCATTAGAAAAAAAACCTGCACTCCTGAATGTAGTTTTCACGAAGGAGGGTCAACCAGAAGAACAAAAAACGTCCGCCCTCCAGTAAAAGTGACCACTTTGTTGGTAAAAACCTGAGCAGTTATCCAGCCACAAGCCAAGCTCCGATGCTACAGAACGGTAAGAAATGCTGCTGTTGCACTTCCTCCTCTTTGGCAAGAAGGGTTTCCGAGTCCACGAGAGGCAACAATTAAATCTCACATTAAACAGGCAAAGGGCACTAACTGTCTGGTAGCAGATGGCTTTTTTCCATAATGCTCAAGGAATGCAATAAATGGGAACCCCATTCAGAAGTCAAATATCTTATTATAAGAAATGAAAATGTTAACGTACTATGAGAGTGATTAAGACATACTTTGGTCAGGAGTTTAAATGAATTAATGAGCTCCTGGAAAAACAATGTCATCGCCTCCTGGTTACTTCAGTGTCAAGGACCGCTTGTGAGAGCTCTGGTTACGATTACCTCACGGACTTCTGAAAATAGAGACCTGAGGAAGAGGCACAGCTCAGGCTGATGCACGTTTTCTCAAACACCGTTTACAACGAGTGGCAAACTGGTGGAGAGGGCCACAGTGTTTTAAATGGCTCCATTCTAACCACACTTAACCATAGTGCTTAGAAAAGTAAGTCCTAAAAAAAGTCCCAGACAAAGATTTCAGAATACACCGGGGAAGTCATACCTGTAAGACAATCAGCATACCCTGAAGATATACACACTCACTCGAAACAAAGGTGCAAGGTTTCCTAGCAGGAGTGCCTGTTGTGGACTACCTTAACACTCAGTTTCCTCGATGGTATTTCTGCACACTCACCTTGTCTAGCTCAAAACAAGTCATGTTTCACGACTCCCATTGGTACGATTAAGCAACAGCCAGCTGGCGTTTTTTCCCTTAATGTCAGGTCAGTTTCTGCTTCCCGTTTGGGATTTTTATGTCTTGATTTATATATATTTATCTACCATATATCTTTACACATCTTTATTTAAAAGCTCATCACAATCCAACTTATTATGGGTGTGCTCTAACTATGACATTTCAAGACAGAGGAAAGTGGGGAGTAGCTGAATTCAAGCAAGATTTGTTTGTTTTCTTTAAAAAAAAATATTTTCAAAAGATTGAGCTTCTTACTGGATGCAACACAAAAAGGAGCAATCTGTGCACAGATGAATGCCTGGATATGCCAGGAGACAGGAGATGCAAGTGTGAGCCTTACTGCTCCAGTTACAGAGGCAGGTGGTGGAAAACCAGCAGACTGGGCTGCAAATCCCTGCAGCTGAGAGCACGTGCCAAAAACCTGGAACCACAGAGAGATACTGCTGTTCTCTGTACGCAGACCAGATACCGGCTTGGAACCACGAGACAGGGCTAACATGGCAGGATCCATAACTGATGCAATACTGTGAAACAGGCAGAGCCCTTTACAGGTCATTCTTGACCGGAAGAACAGAAACGGTGGCTGACGAGGTCTCTGTCCTCTGCTCGGATGTGGTAACCCCTTGCAGCCCGCATGTCCCTGGTTCTGGATCCAACAGCGCCACTCCCTTGGGAGCTGCTTTGCTGCCTGTTAGTGTTACTCTGAACTACATCTTCTTCTTCCACTCTGGAAACCAGCTGCTGCTGCCTGTAACTGCAACTCTGTGATGTTCACTAGCACTCCTGAACTACAAGTGAGCACGGATGTTCTACACGTCTAGCCTGCATAGAAGTGAGAAGGAAAAACGCATTCACCTCTGAAAAGCGCCAAGAGCCTTCTTCTGATATTCCTCTTGCATTCCCCTCAACGATGCTTAAAACAATAAAACAAAAAACACATGAAATACCACAAACAGGACAGAACAAGGTAACCATACCACACAGGCCCAACCCTAGCCTAGCCCTACCCATTCATAAATGAATTAACTACTGAGAGTCGCTGAGCAGGGTCTGTGTTCTGTGTGCTGAAGCTGCAGGAAACAGGGCCCCTGAAGACAGGTGCTTTTGACCATCCAGACTGAGTGAACAAACAAGTTGAAAAAGTCTAAACAAGCCAGAAAAACCAGTGACGACATGAATAAGAGCTGGAGATCCAGAACGAAAACTGCAGACACACTGTTATTCTAGGACCAGGGCTGGGAAACACTGTTGTAGACAGCTTATACTTTAAGAGCAGAAAGGCAAAATCATTAATGCTGTTTAACATTAGTGTTGCTAGTGGCTGCTTTTTATATTTCTTCTCTCAATGAAGGAAGTAAAATCAAGGCTCCTAAATGTCCACAACCTGGCCTCCTTAGGTGTCCCCTCAAGCTTTCAGATCTACAAAGACTGATCCTTTAATCTACGGAGCTTCTTCTTATTTACATTTTGACACTTCAGCACACAGGCACTGCTTGCACAGTGTCAGCCACAAATCAGCGCTGCGCAGGTATTTCTTTCATTAGACTAGAACAACTTATCTTAATCCTTCGACGCTGGGGAGAGACAAAGCTGTTGCCAAGCACCCTAGTTTTTCAAACACAAGAGCGCAGGTAAGGTGTGGGTCTGACCAGTCCCGACAGGAACAGCGTGCTCACCCTTCAAGCTGTGTTTACTCACCATCGCTGGCCTTCAGGCTGTACACCAGGCCGATAGCCAGGTAACCTTTGGCCCTAAATTCTGACGCCTTTTCTCCCATATCGACGACCATTTTGGCAAATCTCTCACCTTCTTCCAGCTTTAAAACACAAAGGGGTAAAAGACGTGACGGATCAAACGAATGCAAACAAACCGGCCTGGCAATGCAGAGACCCCCTCCCCCATCTGATTCTGGAATCGCCTATTGTGCGTTTCGCACACCTCAGCTCACGGCCAGGAAACCAGAAACAGGAGATAAACAGGAAGTGCGGACAGAACCCTCCGCCCCGCCCACCTTCCAGACACAACTCAGGGTCCTGGCCAACTGAGCCCTGGCTCCTTCCTCGGCCACGCTCGGCCCTGGGAATCCCGGTCACGGCCAGCTGGTGGCGCGAGCCAGGCTCGAACCCGTGACGCTTAACGCCAGCTCGAGCGCGTGTGTTCATGAGAGGGCCAGAGGGCTCGTGGAGGTCCCACGCAGGACAGGATTGAATCATTCTGCCTGTTCCCTCTTGATATTGCAGTACAAAAAAAAGATCTTCGCTGAAATGAATTACTTTCATCCTTTCTGCAGAGCAGTGGAAACTGATGAACTGATATTCCATTGAGATCTTAAATTTTAACAGATTCGCTTTCCATCAAAACTGTCTGTTGAGAAGGAAAGCAAAAGGTACCTTAAATAACCAGCATGGAATTTCTTTAATGTCACTATGGTTTAGATAAGATTTTACAGTATACAAGAGTATACCTCAGGCAAGTTCTTTGGCTTCTCAGAATCCCAAATCAGGCAGCAGAACATTGGACCAGAGGGTCTGATTTACCCTGTAAGCCTGCAACTGCATTTATATGGAAATGTTTGATTCGTAATTTATTCCCCTTTTAATCGAGATAAAGACTAATTCTTTTTCAACACAATAACAATAATAACTAATAATAAAGGCAGACTTCAGGTTTGCTGCTGGAACCTTCTGTCTTTTTTAAAAAGGGAAATTATAATACCCACAATGCTGATTGCGAAAATGTTGTCAGGAGTCTCAGTTAATGTCGGAGCTTCAGAGGCACCTACTGGCGGACAAGGCCCCAGCTCAGATACAGTACCACTTCTCAGAAAAAAGCATGTACTCTACTAGAATAATCTTCGAACTGGATTAATGTCTATATGCAAAAGAAAACTGGCTTTAGAGCATTATTTGCACTTGTGATTTTACGATGAGAATATAGTATATGCATTGATGGGATCCAAAAAAGCAGACACTGCTGTCTCGGATAAATCCAAACCTTCGGCCCACGTGCTAGTGCTGCTAGTCACAGCAGGCCTCACGGGGCAGAAGGAAGAAGTGTCTGGCAAAGAAAAGGTCACCATCAAGAAGTGGGCTTCCGATTTAGAACCGGTCGACAGGAGAGAGTTTGAATTAATCCGGGGTCACAGCTTCGCAGCACGTCCCGCAGCTCGCAGGAGGGGGTCAGCAATGAGCACGCAGGCTCGGCCCCAGTACTCACCCAGTGCAGGGTTCCTATGCACAGCTTCACCGCCAGCAGGGGGATGGTGGGGTCATCTGGCTTCAGGCGAATGCACTCCTTCAGCACTCGGACCGCACGGGCCGACTGCGCACAGGACCACAGCGTTACCCCCAGCCCCCCGGAAATGGGAACGGCTACAACCGAGAGGAAGCCATGTGGCCCATCTGGCCCGTCTGGCAGCCTGTAGTTAACGGATCTGGGACCTGATCCAGCTGTTTCTTGGAAGAAGCTAGGATATTGGCTTCAACCACATGGCTGTGCAGCGTGCCACAAGACTTAGGGTAAGGAACAGCCCAGCGTTCATTAGCATTCTTACGAACTGAAGAATAAAATAGTTTGGAAAACACCTCCGATATTAGATGCAAATATCATTCCAACAAAGGCCAATATCACAGCAGGCATCATTTCTTTATCAAATGCTGTATGCTGTTGCTTTGAATGACATAACACAGAAACCCAGAAAGAAAATAAATGTCAGGTAAAGAAAGGTTCTTTTGGCCTGAGGGAACAGCAGATTTTTCTTGCTGAGATAACGTTTCCCTCCACTCTCACTAGTTGATTTTTTTCACGTGAAATACAGCAATACAGTAATAAACTGTCTACTGACAAGTATCGACTTTAATGAAAATACACGGCCTCATCACCACTTACTTTTCCTGCAGCCATCAGTGATAAAGCAAACTGGTACCAAAGGTGAAACTCTTCAAATGCAAACTTCATTGCTCGTTCCAGACACTGTAAAATTAAAAACAAAAATACACTTAGCTAGAAACCAGCACACCAGAATTTTACTTCATCCTTCTTTGTTGTAGCTAAAATAATCAAAAGGGTTATTTTATAACTGCAAGAACTGAAGAAACAATGAACGAGACCGAAAGATCCTGTTGCCCTTTGATCTCGAAGGAAAGAGGATAAAAGTTTGGATAAACTGAGTATAGTGACACTCACTGAATCAGAACTAATTTCAGGATGGAGAACCATATGGCCATGCTGCCTGTGGACTCGACATCAGGATTTGTCAGGACAACACTTGCTCAAAGGAAGCCAAATAAAACACATTGGCCAAAGGTCTTCACAACTGAAGGGTTATGTACAGGCTTGAATAAAAATGATGGGCTTTTATTTCCTCCTTGTCCTGTAGAAATGGTTGTAATTAAGACTTTATGTTCTGAGCAGTGGCAAATTTAATACCTGTTTTATTGGGAACATGAATCAAACAGCTGTTTAATGAGGCTGATAACTGCCCAGAGAAATTCATTTTCCGGAGACTATTTAAAGTTGGAGATCTCGAAGGGTTTGATTAATTAACAAGAGGCCAAGTTTTTATATCAAAACAAAAAGTTACAGGCCTGCTTAGAACCACACAGCCTGGCAACGAGGCAGAAAGGGGAACTCCCCCCTCTCTTTCCCCCAAATTAGTGCCCAGCGTCAATATATATCGGCACCAGAACAGCACCATGGCCGCTGTAGTGAGCGGAAAACGCATTACTGCAAAGACATAACCCACAAATCCAAGAGCTGAGCTTCAAGACCGCAGCTTTCTCCAGCAAGCAGGAAGCTATTAAACAGGAAACAACACCTACAGGAATTCAAAACCTAAGGCTACAAAACCATGGAGACAGCTCTCCGAGTCACAGCAAGTCACATACTGTAAAGAGAAAAGCTCTGGGAATGTAACAGAAGTCAACTGAAACAGACAGGAGTTTTGTAACGAGAGAAACAGTCTTGAACTAGCCAAAAAAGCCAAATATACAGCAGGGGAAAACCACTGATTATAGCAGGAAGGAATTACATAGGTAAATATTCCAACATGTGTAAATCATTCACAACAGCAAGCCTCTATTGCTTTATATCCTTTCTTACAGCTAAGAATTCAAAACTGAATATTCCCCTTTAACCCAACAACACATTTCTAAAGGATTTTCAGGTGAGCAGCTGATATTCAGCTACAGTCAGCTACTATACTAGACTGTTGTCATCAAAGGCACAAGTTCTCTGCCTTGCAGGTGACAGCCAGGCCGGCCCTCGGACAGCACCCAGCGGAGCCTTCACTGCAGGGCCCAGCACGACTTGGAGCGGTGCCCCACACAGCCGGCCCCTGACTGCCTCCACCTCCTGCACTCCATCAACACCTGCTCCCAGGGCCGGGTTTACACGATTAAACCATAAACACGCACACGCGCTCAGTTACCGTGTTCTGAAAACCATTCGTGAAAATATTATCTTAGGAAATTAGGGTGATCTCCAAAACGGTGAAAAACACAGAAGCTGTATTTAAAATACCGTGGTGCTCATTTACATATAATAAGACGTTCAAAGTGAGGCGTGACATTGAAGCCACTGAATTCGATTCAATGACTCCGAATTGGAAAATGAGGGAAACGGTACATGAACCAGCTCCCTGGAGTATGACGATAACGATTATTATTAGCAAGAGCACAACCGTGCTGTAAGATCTCCTGTCTGTCTTGATTTCTCCAGATCCTCACACTAAATAAACATTTCCACTAAATAAACATGCATCTCCCTTTTCCTCATCCGTACTGTTTGGAGCATGAACGAGTTAAAAAAAAAATTCAGCTGCTTTCATTAAAGACCTAGGCTGGGCATTAGTGCAGTGCAGGAGTGACATGAGATACAGTAATTAAAACCATAACTCAAGCTGAGTTATGCAGCAAAATTTCCTCTGTTCCAATACTAGCTGGCACCTCATATACATAATACCTGCTATATTTCAACACACACAGAAACCATCGATTTGTTTGCCACAGGACTGGCTCACTGCAGCTTTTGCTTAGGAGGAGAATTTTAACACAAGAAGTAGCAGCCTTGTATTATCACACCACCAGTGGATGCAACTATTGCAGGCCAGTTCAGTGATATATTTTAGAGGCACAGAGGCTACTGACAAGGTCAAGATCTCCGCATGGCAGCACCAAGCGCCACGGTTCGAAGGCTGTCATTCAGGATCCAATCACCAGCGAGAGGAACTTTGATTTGCTCGCTATCGGTCACATGGTTAAAAGACTGGCAAAAGTGCGTTTTCCATGCCCACCATCTCAGCTTGATTACCTCGGATAGCATCTCGTATTGCCCTCTTCTTCCAAGTGCTATTGTCAGCAGGTCGTACACTACAGACGCACTTTGCAAGCTTATAATGCGGTCATTGTTGTGTTCTGGGATTCGGCTCAGAACAGCGTCCCTATTGGCCTGGAAGCAGAAGAGAAAGCACAGAGGTGATTAAGTGAACAGTGCCAGCGCTTCAACGCAAATTACACAGCTGTGCAGAGCCAGCCTTCGCTTTCTGATGTCCTGCTCATAGTCTGACTACGGAGAGCAGTAAACACAGAAACACTGAAGCTTAACAGCTAAAATATAAACACCTGTAACACAGAACAAACATATCTTCTGGACGGAGAGTCCGCTCAGACTGAAGCAACGGCTGTAAAGAATTCCACTGTAACTTAAATAATCGAACCCTTAACCGAGTCAAAACAGATTTTCTGACTTGCAACACAGTAGAAAACCGTGGCTGAACAGTCTGAGTCTTTGAATGAAAAGCAAAGCAAGAAAAGAGGATTATGTGCTGAATGGTAGCACCTTTAACTCTGTTTTATCAGAGTATTATGTTATTTATTATATCTCTGGCGTGTAATAATGCAGAGAATGTCTTTTCAGAGCACGGATGATCTAGAAATAAACAAACCAAATTACCATGTTCACCAGCCAGAAGGGCAAGTAGGACCTTGAACATGTCAACACGATAAATCTCTAATTAAAATTAAATAAGTGTTAACCAGCAGTTTTAATGCCCGTGCTTGACATAAGAGACATCCAGCTTACCATTGACTCACTAATTAGAAGTAGAAGCAGGGCTTCTTCTGTGTTTTCCTGAGGACAGAATATGCTGCAATTAAAGCGAGAGACCATTAGTTTCTTTTAATAGTTGCTGAATTTATCAACCCCCCTTAGTGCCCTGGCAGTGTACTCATGCTCAAGAGAACTTGGTTCATCAACAGTGGTCAGCTCTAAAAACTGGCTACAATTAAAGCGATGTTTTCAGAAAATATCATTCTCCTTAATTGTGATGGCAGGTACGGTCATGCAGCAGTAAGTATCACCATAACCACACTGCACAGCAGAAGGCATTATTTTCTTTTCCATAAAGCAAATCCCTCAGCCTTTACTTCTTTGAACTCTTACTCAGGCTGCACTGCCTATGACACTCGGTGCCATATGTACTGAGGTTCAGGCAGACTGTGAAGCTTTCCTCTAGACTTGCTAACACCTCGAACCTGCAGCCTAAAGAGCAGACCACGGGTGTGTTAAACTGGAAGGCCAGAAGTGCCACAGACGAGTCTGTAAGGAATGAAAGGCAGTGGAGACAGATGTCGGGACTGCTGTCTGTGCCAGTGCCACATGAGTACACTGCTGAATAGAGACCACACAGGGTGCCCCCCCTCCCCCCGAAAGCCCGCCACCGCCGCGCACCTCTCTCCCGAGTACACCCTGGGCCTCCTGCTCAGGGCGTAGTCCTTGGCGCGGGAAGCTTGGCGCAGCGGGTCGTCCAGGGGCGAGGGGTGCGGGGGGTCCTCCAGAGGGCTCCAGTAGCTCTGCTCACACATGCCACGCAGCAGGATCTCGGCCAGCTGCCGGGCGATCGTCTGCAGCAAGACCAGCACAGGTCAGAGCCCGGGTCCGAGCCCAGGGCACCCCTGGGGGCGCCTCTCTGAACCACTGACGGACAAAATCCCCACCCGCTGGTCCGCCCGCCTCGGGATGAACCAGCGCTTACAGCCTGGGAGAAATCTTCAACAACAGGATTTAGGTCACGGTTTAGAAACACACTGTGGTTTTGATCAAATTTGCTGAAAATGTCTGATGAATAAAATTAAGTCAAACACCCGCATATCTGTTAATATTTTATACAGTTATATTTAAGCATACATGTGCCCCAGGCTTATTTGATGTCAAAGATGTAAAATACATAAATACTAAACACATACAAAAACATTCCTTGCTTCATAATTTCATCAATGATTGTTTTATGCTCTACCGTTATCGCTTGTTGACAGCAGCATTTACGTCAATACCTACACACACGCACTGAGCAGCTCTGGGTCATCAGCCACCAGGACCCAGCCTGCAGACACAGTTTAAAAACCTACCATGCGCAGATTCTGTGTAGTCCTCGTCTCTATAGCCCTCAGAATTTCCCGAAACCGTCCCACTCCTCTTGTCAAATTTCTGTCAGATAAATGATTCAAAAGCACAAGGCAACACCCATTAGGCTTTAAAGGCACCATAAAACACTTCAAACAGTCTCAAAAGGATTCCTTTCCCTGCTGGAAGGAGTCACCTGCCCTCAAAACTGAAATTGACTCCACTTCTTATTTGCTGAGAACCAACTGGAAGAGTCTGAAACACAACACCTCCATCCCACTGGAACTGTTCTATTTTACTCAGGTTCTGCTCTAGATCAAAACAGATCTTTTTAAGTGCATGTTGTATGTTTCCTTGGAAATGCTGTGGAACAGAGCCCTGTCTGATATTGTGTGCAATGATTTTTCAGAACAGGCACAATGATGTGAAGCTAATCTAATGTACAGGCAAGGGCAAACTGAGAAAACTTCATATGGGCAGAAACCTTTTAAATGGCTTTCTAAAGCAGTCTGATCAATGAAATAAACTCTTTAATTTTGCTGTACACTCTCCAAGGCTCTCTAACATTAAACATATTCATTAACATGCCATTTTTATTCCAACAAGCTTCACTATAATTACTTGCTAACATCCAATTACATACAGTGTTTGGAAGTCCTAAAATAGGAATCCAAGGGAAGCGTTCTGAAAAATAATTAATTATCTTCTGTATTTTATCACTGACATTCCAGTAAATATCAAGTTCCAGTAAACACACGCACAAAAAACAGGGCTGGTAAACTGGAGCTCAAAATCTCTTATTGGAAATGTGACGGTAACCGCAAAGAGGGGCATTCTGGTCCAGGTCATTCACAAGGGGTTTCAAGGCGCTGCCTGTGCTTTGTTGCCTTTTAAAGCTGAAGGAGTCACGTCATAATATCTTCACCAAGACTAAGTTCAGGTCCAGACAGAGACATGGTCAGTCCATTGACCCTTGAACCCATATACCCACCCTGTGCCACTTCACCTTCAGAAGCAAAGCCTTTCCCACTCAGTGCTCCCCAGTCAGCTCTGACAGGTAACAGTCCACTTGTCAATGTGTTACAGCCTGGCCTGGCATCAGAGCAATAAAACTCCAGCCAGTGTTTAACAGGTAGAGGCGATGGGCAGAGGAAGCTGTGTCTCCTGTGTGCTAACCCCTTGTGAAGCCCTAAAGATTTGCATAAGGGGGGCTGCTTTTTCATCTTTCACCGATGAAAGATGGACGGCTAGTTGATAAGGAAGAAGAAATTAAATTGAGAAACCAGAATCCCTTTAAGGCACTTATCACATCCCTGCACAGCTTGCCTGCTGCAACACGTCTCCGAAGGTGACCTGATATTTAGCTAAGGTAAATCTACACGTTGTCAGATTCCACATCAGTCCAGCCTTGAAGGTATCACTGACCACTACAGCAAACTGATAAATCACTGCAGGAGTCTAAAAATGGTTTCTTCTTCTTCTTAACTGCTGCAGCACACAGAAAAAAAAAACTAGAACCTGAAGCTATTTTAAGAGAAATGCAAACAGATGAGGCAAGAGGCTGAGCAAATATTTGGTTCCTACAGGTAGAGGTTTGAAGGAACAGCCTCCTGTTTACACACATCTACAGCTCTCCCACTCCTCTCCTGCAGTGCCTGTGCCAGGAGTGGACAGTGCTCAGCACTCCCTTGCCCTTAACCTTGGATCACACAGTTTCTATTTATCAAAGGGTTGGGGCTAAAACTGTTAAGGAAAAGCAGAGACTCCTTTTTTTTGCTTCCAGGGCAAGGGTAAAACAGTTTATATCAATGATTGTGTTTAAATATCAGGACAAACATTTCTCTGAAGAACAAACCTGCCATAAAAGAGTTTGGTATAATTCTCCTACTGCAAGTAAGAGCAGTAAACATCAGGATGAAAGAACTGCAGGTATGAAACAGAACGGCTAGCCACATTTCACAATATGGATCAATATGCCTCTTATGATCTCAGAAACAAATTTCTGTTACTTCAGTTTTAGTTGAGCAATTTACAACTCCCTACAAGGACATCCAGCCCTCTTCATTTCACTGTCATCGGATGACACTCAATTAAAAACTGCTTTCTTGAGAAAACACCTGTTAAGCTGTGCGATGAAGAAACGCTGAGAATCTGCTAATTAAAAACTCGGTCACCACCACACGCCTGCTTGCACATATTCAGGTACCCTTCAGAAGTCTTTGAGATTTCTGGAGGCATTCTTTCCTGTTATTCAGATGCATCACCCTTCCGGATGCGCTCCTGGCTTGGGCACTCAGACGCAGCTCGGGGGGAAACGCAGGAACCACGGCTCGGGTTCGCACAGCTGCCGGAGAGCTCCAGGGAGCCCGGCGCACCCAGCGCGCCGCAGCGGAAAGGGTTAAGCGGACCCGGGCCTCGCGCTCGAGCTGCCGAGAGCCCCGGAACGGCACAGGGCAGCACGGCCAGGGCCCCGCCGGGCCCCGCCGGGCCCCCTGCCTTCCTTCAGTAATCCCAGGCTGCGCCCAACACAGCCAGAGACTCTTTTTAGAGACTCTTTTTAGATCAACCAGCTCTGCTGCATCCCTAATTCCGAGCTCCTGCTGCAGCCGCTTACACACAGGGTGGAGCTGGGAAGGGGAAACTAACAGCGGGGCCGAAGGTCCGTCGCTTCAGCGCTGCAGGGAGGGGACGGGGGGGCAGCACTGACATGTCCCAAATAAAAACAGCATTCTTACCTATTCTACCCCGCCGCCCTCACCACACCCTCCACTCCTGCGCTGAAAGCCGCGCAGGAGCTGACAGGCTGGGTGCCTCCTACAGGAGTGTCAGATGTATGTGGAAGACGGGCGCAGCGGCTGGGACACGGTAAAGATCTAGAAGGCTGAATGTCAGCCAGATCAAGGTGAAATCTACAGGGTGGCAACAGTGTTGATGATTACCGCACATTAGAGCCGATATCATTTAGTCGAATTTCTCAAACCCTAGAGACTCTTTTTAATATCTTAGCCATCTCTTTGTTATTCAAGTATTTGCAATCATAAACTCACTCCCTCTTCAGGCTTCCCTGCAGTTAGCCCTGGGCTCATGCCACAGTATTCCTGTTCAACGAATATTAACACTTAACAGCACTGACAAGAAAAATGCATCCTGATTATATTTATGAAGGCGTTTGACCAATGTTCCCAAGTTGCCCTTTATCCCTGTGAATTTGAAATATAGTGATCAAATAATAATCCTGATCAGCGGCTCAAGGCAGTGATGCTCAAGACAGTGATGAGAATACCTGTTCATTATTATGAACAGAAGAAAGAAATAATATGAAAAGAAAAAAATATAGACCATAGTTTTTGCTCCTATTGTACTAAGAAGAAGTTTGTTTTGTGATTGTGTTAAGAGGGAGGGGATGATTAAAAAGGTGAGCTAGACAGCTGAGACTTATCCCTGCTCTTTCTTTTTAGGATGAATAAATCCTGTTTGCACCATACAGCAGATCAAACATTTTTCCTCCAACATCAGAAGAAACTCTTACTCCCGAATATCTGAGAAGGGACAGGTTCAGGCAGGGGACAGCTGGGCGAGCTGCTTCTGGAGTGGAGGTGTGCTGGGTGGAAAGGGGGACACTCGCACAGTGGGGGTCAGAGGTCATAGGTCACAGAGGTCAGCAGGCCCGAAGCTAAGAGGTCAGCGGGTGCCAGCGGAAAACAGGAACAAGGGAAGACTCGCTCCCGTGAAGGACCCGCCAAGGCAAGATTGAACAGCGACACAGCACGGAATTCACAGTCCCCATACAACAGGCTACCGATGGGAGAAAGGGAGGACAGGCCACGGGCAATGTTTTACTACAGCATAGCCAGTCTACCATATACCTATCTGCGTTAATGCTTTTAAACCAAATGGACAACTCCTTAGCTGTGAAGCTGCTGTGGTCTAGTGCAAATAGGAGTCAGGGCGCTCCTATTTAAAGCAGATCTGCAGTCCATCACTGTCCCATTCCCCACTGCGTGCTGAGTCCACCATGCCATGCCAATAAACGCACAGTGCTGCAGGTGTGCTGAAGGCGGAGGCACTTGGACTCAGCTTTTAAACTTGCAGTTGAAAGAAAGCGTTAAAAAAAAGGGAAATTTTTAAATCTGAATTGAAAAAAGAGCTTTAAAAGGTATTATCTGTAAATGAAAAACACAGATTTCAGCTCTCTCTAGTGCTTGACAAAAGAAGCTGCTCTTTCAAGGAATATCTAAAACATTGTCTCTGAAACGTGATCTCTGCCTCTGAACATTAGGGGTTCTCTGTCTTCAGATCCTGCCCACGCAGAACTACAAAAGGCCGACACTGAAAACCACTGCAGACAAGCAGCCACTGTTCAGACGTGTGTTAATGAAGTGATGACGGGGGAATGCTCCAGTGCTGGACTTTCTGGGAGGGGTATCTCACAATCCGATAGTCCAGACTAGACTCTATTTAAAAAAGGCAGAAAAGACACCTACTGTTGTTCTTCACATAAATTTAACCTGAAATGTAAGTGAGAGCGAGAAACATCATGCCGTAAATGAGCTTGTTCAACTACAAATTATAATCTTGATCACATTTTTATTGTGCAGTTGCTACCTGTGTGCTCAGTACCTGCAACCCCAAATGGATAATGCACGAAACTTAAAATGCAAAACTATTTTATATACAAAAATGAAGGAAAGGGTGTTTCATGCTTTCATCTATAATGCACCAAAAATTAAATGCAATGAAGTATTATTGTAGTTCTTCTACATCGACGCATTACATATCATACACATCTAGGTGTTTATGAAAGGACGCTGCCAAAGAGCAACATCAGTGCTGCACATTAATACTGCATTAGGAACTGCAACACTCAACAAAGCCCTTTGATCTAGAAGCTGAAAGGCTATCTTGTGAAGTGGTGTATCTGAGGATCTTTCTTACCCATTTTTGAAGTGGATGACATGAGCTCTTTGAAGGCCTGTTTCCAGGAAGTACCCCAGCTCCTGCTCCTGGGAGACAGGGCCTGGTTTGGGGCTCCGGTTGTGGAGCCCTGTGCTCAGAGCCTGGAGAGGAAGAAGAGACGTGACAGCCTCAGTCCATCAGCCCGTCTCAGGCCATTTACAGAACAGAAGAAAGTTCACAAATGCAGTTAGCCCTTCAATTACTGTTGAAAAGATTATAATAAGGTACAAACATAGTCATTTATATAGGCAAGGTATTCAAGCTCCACATTTACAATTGTAAACTGACAGTCTAAGTCAGTCCTGCCTGAAACTGCCTTGAATTTTGTCTAAATCATTCTGAATTTTCTTACCACTTCCACAGCTGTTTTGGAGTCACCTGCAGTATGAAATGGATTAGTATGCTAACTGCACCAAAAATCTAGATCATTAATATAAATTAAAATCAGATATGGACCTAATAGAGGTCTCTGCAGTACTCCGCTAATTACATCAGCATTCACTCCTTTCCTCTGGTGTTTTCTATCCATTAACCATTTCTAGATCCAAAGACCTGAGTAATGATGCTTACTGCATACAGTTGGAGAAATAATCTTTTATGAGTAACTTAATCAAAAGCTTTCTGAAAATCTAAATATACCATACCATATGCTCAGTGCATATCCAGCACTGCTGTTACTAACAAGCAAGTTAAAGCCTACCTTTTCTAAATTCATGTTGACTATACCCTAGAATTTAATGGCCATAGAGATGATCTTCTGGTTGAAGTCTAATTATTGCTCCTTACAAGTAATGGAACTAAGGCATATTGATATGTCATTGATCTTTGATGGTCTTTGACAGCAATTCAAACATTCTGCAGTATTCCAACAGCAATTCATGTTCTGCCATTAAAAGGTAAGAATGGCTAATGCTGATTCCAGGAGAAACTGAAATGAACTATAGTTATCACAAATGTCAGACATCAAACCCAGAGGAACATCCACTTTCTAAAAAACAAAAGGAAAATCATGGCTGAAAAACTGCCATTTAAGCTGAAATCAGAGACAGCTGTTCAGCTTGTTCAGTCTTTCTCAGCTGAACAGCATGTATCTGGGTCAGTACAGAGCTCTCCACCCACATAGCTTTCATGCACCAGTGCTAGGAATCAAGTGTGCGCACACTGACACTGTTCCTGCAGTTGCCAGCTTTTTACTGCACCACCACATGTGTTCTGAAATCACACAGCAGGCAGGTCAAAATGGAGCGGTCTAAAACAACCTACGAAACCAGAGCTCCTAAGGTAAAGAGCTGCAGTTATTACAGAAACCTCAGGAAGGGGAACATCATACCCCATACAGCACCTTTCTGTGACTGACTCAGCACTCCTCAGAGGCCTGTGTCCTCAGTTCCTTTTACATATGTGGGAGGGACAGATCTGCAACAGTCAAAGCTTTACTAAGGAAGACCCATGCCAGGGTATAGGAATGAGACCACAGCAAGGAAAAAAACAAGGTCTGAAGAGTGTCTTGGTATAGCTCAGTAAGCTATATGATTGTTTCATCCACAGCTATCCTCCGTTTAACTCTCTAAACTTACACATTGATTTTCACAGCCCTCCTGAATACCAAACCAGTCTAACCAGTAAAACTGAACAGATCACTCCCATGGAGGGAACTTAACGCTGGTACAGATGTATTGGACAAAATACCTGAGGTGATACAGAATGAAAACAAATTATAAAGCACAATAGATATATCTGATATCTTAAAAAACACTTCCTTTCAGGTGTACCAAATTTCTGCTATGAGATGGTTTTGTATCTGTTGACTTCTGCAGGTGCTGCAGGATGAAAGCAGGGTTATGACCTGGTTTTAAATGTCCCTATCAATCAATGATGACAGGTGCCTGCTTTAAAGAGCACACAAAGTGAGCTCAGGAAGACGCAATGCTCAATAAATACCCTAAATCAAATGTCTTGCACCATCACATGGTACCAGATTCTGTGTGTATGTGTCTGCTACTGAATATTCCACAGTATCAATTTGCAAACTGCGTAGAATCAAATACATGTTCCTCATTAAAAAGTGAATTTTGTCAGCTTTCCCACGGTTATACTACTTTTGCATACAAGTAGGGAGAACAGTCAGACACTACAGTGAGATTATAGACAAGTAGGAGCAATCTATGTCTAAGACAGAATGTAACAAGACCGATATCTCTGGTTCTATAAACCTGTAACTGACTTATTAGTTAAGGAAGGATTTTATGCAAATACACTCAGCTGTGCTTAAGGTTGATGTGAAGGAAAAAATAATTGCAGGAAACAACAGAACTTTAAAACCTTTTACAATCAACGTTCTTGGATCAATGAATTTTAGGGGTAAAACTCCTTCTAAATGTGTGCGCTTTGTGTCCATCCCTCTAGTTCGTCACTCCTGATCTATTAATGTCGGATCAGCAGCCCCATTTAAATACAAACACAACTGTTTCAATGTGGAGAAAGCTGTCCCTCTAGTGGGAGCCAGACTGTATTCACAGTTCTAAAAACGATACAGAGTGATTTCTGTCAGATTGGAGCCACTCAGAGAGCGCGCACTCAGGATCTGGATGCAGAGCAGTCTCATCAAGGGCAAATGAGGCTTGCATTCAGGAATCCTTGAGAGCCAATTAAGGATAAATTTAGCTGAAAATCACGCCATATTTGACAATGGGGGTATGCACATCCCTCTAAATCACAGTTGAGAGTCTAATTATGTAGAAAGCTTCTTGAACAAGAACAAAGCAAGGTCCCTCTGTCAAAGTTCTGACCTCATCATCTTCAAAATAGTTCAAAGGCACCCGGAAGGTAAATCGCCCCTCTCTGCAGTTCCGAGCCCTGTCCTTTCACAGTCCTTCACTGTAAATGAACTTCCTCTGGAGTGCCTGCACGGCTGGCATGGCTGACATTTACCAAGACCCTGTTCCAGGATGGTACACGTGGTGATGGAACCAGTCCTGACTGGTTTCACATTCAACATGAAGCTTCACTGCAGGAATCTCAGAGCCAGAGACCTGTGTGGGACCAGACACTTAGCACAGTGCTAAGGGTTTTATCCCAGAGCTTGCTGTAAACTTTACTAAATATTACCGGAGCTTAAGGCAATAATATAAACACGACAGAATACATTTACAAATCAGGCACACTTTAAACTGATTAAATATTAATCCTGGGTCATTAAGGTAGAGTTTCATTACTCACAAGATTTATAGTGCCATAAATTGCTGTAAAACAGATCTGTCCTCCAGGTAAGCACTTTAGTTCTTTCAAGAGCATCCCTCCTTTCATCCTCCCAGCAACCAATATACAAAACTAACATACAAAACAGGAATTAGAGTCTGATGTTTACATGAAAAGCTTTGTTTTATATCTGCTTAAAGTTTCATGTCAGGAGGTTTCTATGTACAGATGGCTATGCAAATGCAAACTCAAGGACACAAACACCAGAGCGGTTTTAACAAACCTGAAACCCTGAGAGCTTTCCTGAAATAAGAAGAAAATCTGTCCACAGAACAGAAGCATGCTAATTAATGTACAGAATTTAATTAGCTCAGTAAAACTGCAGACAGCACTTTCTACTGCTCGGGAAAACACTGTGCTGAATCAACAGCACACACATACTTCTTATTTCTTCCCAGATATCTCTTCACAATGCTTTCAGAGGCTTGCTAGAACAGTTGAGTCTGCTGCTTTCCCCCAGAAAGGCCTGCTCTGAACCAGATCTCCTCTTACAGCAGCAGTAAGGGGAACACAGGCACTCCTGCAGGATCACTGGTCCAATACGGAGTTTGACGTTTAAAGGAACAGCAAGAGAGCAATATGGGTAGCAGAGGTGCTTTTCACAATAGGCTGGTGCTGAGCAGAGATCCTCTTGCAGTTAGCACACACAGATTGTTCCCCAAGCCCAAACAGCGCTGGAGTCGAGGGGGAGGCCACTGGGAGGGGAAGGCTGCCACACCAGTGTGACTGACGCCGCCAGCCCTGAGCCCAGCGATGAAGAAACGGCCACAGCGGTGCGCTCAGTCCCCGCAGACCAGATCAACAACAGAGTTCGAACGCACAGCCTGTCATCGCCCCTCAGCACGGAGCCCTCCTGTGGTGGCCAGCTGCGCAGCCACAGAAGATGCCCCCCGGGGGGGCTGGACCAGAGTGAGAGTTACACCAGGGGGTCAGGAGGGGGAGGTGTGCCAAAGGCACGAGCAAGCGAAGCCATTCTTCTCTTCACTACCTGTTTATACACATTATACCAATAAGTCCTGTACATCACTCTTAAAACTCTGATGACTGTGGTGGGCACTTGAAAACGTCTCTCTTTCATTAATGCAGCAATGAACCACTAGGTACTGCTAATATGCAAAGATGAAAAAGCATGTAAAAGTGATAAAACAATCAAGTTGAATCTCACAGAAGAGGATGCTACAAGTTCACTACAGCAGCAGTAACCATGTGCTGCAGTGCTTGTCCTACCACAGCTACATGGAGGCAATGTGAACTGGCCTGGGAATGACAACTGCTTCACAGGGGACGACAAGCTCCATGTGTGCTTCCGAAAGGGTTCCTTCCTAAACAGCCATGAGTGCACAGGAAGAAGAGGGCTGCTGAGCTATTGAGGAGTGTGTTTCGTATCGCACTCAAGACCTTACTGATCAAGGTCTTTATGCTTCGAGCCACTGTTTCCTCAGGCTACACAGAAACACATGCCGCCATCAAAACGCACTGAACCCTACCAAGGGGGACTCTGTTTGTCCAGGGAGGCCGGAGCCAGATGTCCACCATCACCTTGGACAAGCATTCCTATGAACCCTGGAAGAGCAGCTCAACAAAAAAGTGTTTGCATTTCTTAATAGTATAAAAACACAAAACACAAAGACTAGACGCTATCGTTAGTGCACTGTATTTCTCAAAACAAAGCAGGTTAATCCCCAAAACCACCCTAGTAACATATAAAGGGCAGGACCCTTATTTCCCCAGTGTGCAAACCACCCACTCTGTAGCAAATCATTTAGTGGACAGTACACACATAGCTTGTCAGCTGGACAAATCTGGCTTTGCACTGCATTTCGTTTGTATACAGTACTCATTCCAGTACGTGCCTTTACCTTGACGTGTTTATAAAGGTCTTAAATATCTGGTATAGAAGTCAAGGATCTGTTATACCTTTTCCATTTCCTGGAGGTAGAGCAGAGCAATATCCCCGGATTTCTCATAGCAAGTAATGATCTCTTGGTCCCGATCCGTATTCCGATTGCTCACCGGAGACGCCACTGGCACCTTCTCTAAGCACAGACCTAGAACATAAAAAAATCAAAGTCTCATTACTCTGGACTGACTGGGTCCTGCCTGCCAGTGGTACCACTGATCACACAGCACTGGTCGGTCCAGGTCTTCTCTGAGAAACGGGGCGTAAAGCCAAGTCACACTGCTGCGACTGGGTTTCCAGAACCTCTAGAAATAGAGCCATTTTACTCTTTTTTACCAAAACAGTCAGATGAATGTGATTAGAGGACAAATCCTCAGCAAGGTATTCAGTGATGGCCTGCAGACAGCATGGAAAATGTGAGCAAACATGAGCATAACATCGGACCTCCTGAAATATAAATCTGAGAGGCGATCAAAGCTTTGCAGACGCGCGACAGAAATAGCAGTACTTCTTAATGTTTTATCAGGTACCCGATGACACCGCTCAGAGCTCTGGGGCAGCAGTGTGACGGCACAAGGCAACAGGACACGACTGGCCACACACGACCGTACCCTGGGAGGTGCGCGTTTCACACGCCGCCGTGTGAAAACACAAGGCTTGGCGACTGGGAAACGTGCACCTCCGCCTACTAACACACGAGCAGGACGAGGGGCTCGCGCTGCACGGCCCCAGGGGCTGCAGCTACGAGAGAGCAGCTCGAGAGGCTTGGAGAAGGAACAAGAAATTCCCAGCTGGACTGCCTCGGAAACACACGGGAATTTCGGGGCACGGAGGAAAATTCCTGTCGTGCCCGCCATCTTTCAAAACTGTAATAGCACAATCTGTCCATGGTTAACAGCAGCTGTTGATGTCCTATCCACGACCTGACACGCACATCGCAGTCTGGGCAGCCTCCTACACGACCCACTCAGCAATCAGGTGGCTAAGCCCTGGATCCAGCACTGCTCAATTAGGAAGGCAAGCACTCCCCCAGAGAGGCTGCCTAACTTCATCCACCTTATTAATAAAAGTTTGCCAAAGGCACACACGAATGCGAGATCATATATTAAAAACTGTTATTGAAGAGAGAGGTCAGACAAAAAAAACCAAACAAACAGATTAAGGCCTCCGATTCTACACGTGTTGGATACTCCATTATCCGACTGCACACCGATGAACACCCTGCACACAGGAGGGTGTCTTTAACGTTAGCCTCCTGAGTACACAGCACCTGTACGCTGACAGTCTGAGCTCCAAGACGAGACAGGGCTGGGAATATGGGGCTGGGAGGGGGGCGGCACCTGTGGCGAACTGTTCTTCTGCTGAAGGGCATTATTTTTTAAAACATTACGGTACGCTTCTGTGAAAAAAGCTGATACCTTTAGGGTGCATCGCAGCAGCAGTGTTTTCTTAAGTGCCCCACGAGGGAGAAATGCCTGGTGCTGCTTTGCCCTCTGCAAAAAAAACCCTGAAAGGAAAGACTTGTGTTGCCTTATATAGCATTACTGCCGCGCGCTGGCCAAGGTTAACACAAGCGGCAGGATTCGACTGCCCTGACACATATCCCTAATTCACAACTGTGTGGCACTTTCACAGGCTCCTAACAGCCCGCTGCTGCTCTAGACAGAGCCCAGCGAGGCCTGATCAAGTGACTAATTAAATTTAAATAAGAGTAAAGAGCTCATTACAAAATTATAAGAGTCTGGACTCATCTGGAAAGCCCTTTCTTTCCGAGTCTGAAATTCAACAATGATCCTTTCTGCGAGAGGGTGTTCTTAAAAAAGCAAAGCGATAAGCTTGATCAATTATAATAAGTGAAACACCCCAGGAAACTGTAGTAGGACCACTACTCTTCCTAATCTTTATCAGTGATCTTGATTCTGGGACAGTTAGCTAGCGAGTCCTGTAATACAGAGAATACCAAATTGAGGAGCATGAGAAAAAACTCTGAAGGAACCGCACATTAAATTTAAAAAATCCGACCAAATTCAGGAATGGGCAAACAGTTGGCAGATGCAGAGAAGGGGGTTACAGCAGAAAGCAGCGGAAATGTGAACTAAGTAAACACATCGTTTACATCTTCTAGACATCTGGAGAATCAATAAAAATGTAGAGCGAATGTTAGAATTTGTTAATACTTCAGAACTGAAATCAAGGGATGTTGTTAGAACTGTAAAATGCACTTGTAACACCTCATTTAGAAAACTATCAGACAAAAAAATATATTTCTGCTCCACAATTAGTCCAGATAAGAGCAACCAGACACGTTCCTAGGCTTAAAGAGATGTCTTACACCGACAGGCTAAAAGACCTGAATCTTTTTAGTTTTAATATGGAAGTCTACCAAGGGTCCTGAAGGAAATATCGAAAATCCTGAAAAGGTCACAACCCACTGGAGCCAGAACCAACAGTGAAACACAAAGCAGAGGACACAAGTGAGAGCTCTGAGGAAGTGCAAACTCAGAACAGGGGGCACTTCTGTACCCAAAGTGTTAGTCTGGAAGTCTAGAAGCTACCCACCCCTGTTACTGAGAAGGATAATCAGATCTGTTAAGTACTAGTAAATGAATGAGATAGACTGAGGAAGGTACTTACTCCAGTATATACCCTGCAGCAGAAATGAGTTCTCTCCTACTGCTACAGCTAATTAAAATGTATTCTCAATTATTTTCATTTATTTATTCTCAAATAATTATTTTTCATTTATAACCAATACCAAAAAAACATCAAAGCGTGGCTTGTCATCCTACAAGACATAAAGATGACCAGAAATAATAAGATAAATTACAGTTTCACCAAGCACAGAGCAAAGCTTACTCTTAAATTTGAGGTGACACTGCCATCACCTGCCAGGAAACCTTCATTACAACTTGACCGCAGCTCAGCCAGTTAGCCGAACCACACAACAAAAAGTAGCATTTTTTTGTGGCGTTTCGTGGAAAATTACCCCGAACATCTCTCCTTGGGGGTTGGTAAACTGTATCCAAATGACAGCCCGATTACTTGAAATTACATGGAAATATAATGATATACAGAAATTACTGTCAAATGCTGCTGTAATTCCACGTATGTTTTGAAACCAAATATCTGATAGCCAGCAGTCACAGTGAAGGCAGCACAAGTGTTGAGCCACCCACTGCTGGGAGCTTATTCCCAGTCAGCGCTGTGCTGGAAGCTTAAGGCCCTAGGCCTGGATGGGATGCCAGCCTGTCACCCTGCAGGGAACACGCAGGCACGCAGGTTTGGAAGACAGCAATCAACCTGTTCTGTCAGTCTCTGGACGGCGGAAGGAAAGGTGCTTCAGGAGAAAACCCAAGAGACTGGTCACAGAAGGGTCCGCGGGCGGGAATCGTACCGGGGACCCGGGAGCTGTGAAGCAGAAGCACTGACCGCCATGACTCCGTATCGCTGTGCTGCCGCAGACCTTCACCTGGGCACTGGAGAAAACCCCCGTCCGCGCAGCCACAAAGCCCATGTCTGCAGACTGCACGCTGCACGAGGATGAGAAACCCACACTTTGCACCCAGCTACCGCGGTTCCCAAAGGACACTCCTTCAAAAGGCTAAAAACATAAACACACGAAGAAGGCTCTACGGCCAAAATGTTGTGTTTTCTTTCTTCTTTTTTTCAGCATGGAACAAACCTATTACTTGTTCCTTTGCAGCCTACGCATGCTGACGCAGCTCCCCACCTAAAAACAGAAACGTCACGCCACTGGTTTGAAAACACAGAAACTGAACAGACCCCGGCCATACAAATGCAAAAACACATCCGGGTTGGTGAGAACACACGGGAGCTGCTGGCCCAGGGCTGCACCATCCAACACTACTGCTTCTGCTGCTCCAGGGTCCTGGATCGGATTGCGACTTGGGAATGTTCTCCGTGGGTTCTAGTTTAACTCCAGCTGCCAAGGACAGGCCGTGAACACTCCAGTGGAAGAAATTCCCACTGCATGCGGTACTGCTGGCCCACAGAGAAACAGATTCAGGCGAGAGGGATGGACAGGGCTGCTTCCTCTCACCTGAGTCCCTGCCGATGTTCCGCTCTGGTTTGCTCAGCGGAACGGGCACCCCGCTGGGGTCGAGCTTGCGGCGTGGGGCAGGACTCACCTTTCGTGGCGTAAGCTTCCGCGATCATCGACAGGCGGTACATGGGGATCCCCACCAGCTGCACCTCATCCAGTCCCACCCTGGAGTAGATGCTGGTGGCCTCTCTGTAGTCCCCCTCCACGTAGCTCAGCTTGGCCATCAGCAGGTGGGCTTCCTGCATGTACTCAGACTTCGGGGAAACAAAACGCGTAACGTGCTGTAACTAAGAGCTGCTGCAAGCCGTCAAAGGGATTTCTGACTGGCATCGAATCATCTGGGAAGTAATGTGGCTGATGATAAGTCTATTCGCTCCCATCCACTGTGTATCAGGTGAAGCGTGTTACACCAGAGAGATGTTAATAACATGCAAGCTGCTGTAGTTAAACAGAGACCTTTTAAGTCCACAGAAAACCTGCTGGCTCACTTGCTAAGGTGATAAATATTTGGCCTTTAGAAGGGCAAAAGAGAAGAGCCGACGAACACCCTGTGTTCTGCATTAGATCGGGTAATATCAGCCATCCGAACTTCTCCCCGCCCCTCTCCACCCCATGGGCAGAGGAGAAGACGTTTTAGAGAGAAATCAGGGGTTGCATGATTTCTGCAGCTCTTGGAAGAAAAGCCAATTGGACCCAGCAGGCAATGAAGTCAGACGACTTCCAGCGCAACTAAGAGACCCAACACAGCGGGGCGAAGAGAGCTCAGCGCCGGTTGGGAAAGTTCTCAGCCTTTGTTTCTAGATTGCCGTTTTCAGTAAGGAGCGCTGAATTGAGGACTTCTCTAGTGCTCTTCACAGGTCGGTGACCCAAACTGCACCGGGACCGAGGACGTCCCCTCCCTCCCCTGCGGCCTCACCTTCAGGTTCCCTCGGTCCAGCGCGGCCGTCAGGTGCTTCCTGACCTCCACCAGCTGGGGCCTGGCCCCCCGTGGGCTGTAGCCCTGCTTGATGGGGTTCTCTTTCAGGTACTGCTGGAGCTTGGCCTCCCCCAGCAGCAGCTCCCCCAGGTCATCTGCCAGACAGACCACACCGCCGGTCAGAGTGCGCCCCCAGCGCCCCCAGGGTACCCTCAGGGTCGCCTGCTACAGGCACTCACACAGCCAATCCCAGCTGCTGCTTCCTTCCATCTGACTGCCTTCCTGTGTGCAATCTAGCAGAGGCTGGTAACACAGCATAGCTGCCTACTGGGGTTGTGCTCGTCATGCTTGTCAAACCTGTAATATTTCACATCGGTTCCCACACGTACTGTATGCCCATTTCAAACCTCACTAGTTTAGCACTGATTCAAGTCCAGCTGTTGATGTCGTGATTGTTTTTCACCCTGTGATTCGGAAAGGGGGTAATAATGCTTGGCATTTTCAACAATTATTTAAAAACACCCTGTCTCCCTTGAAATTAACATAGAACTAACCTCAGTGTTAGCACAGCGTTTGCTAATTTTGTGGGATGCCCCTATTTCTTGTATTGTCAAACAAAGTTCTACAAGAGGATTAAAATAAAATGAACGTGCTGGTTCTTAAGAGTTAACGAAGCAACGGGAAGGAGTTAAACACCCCTTTTGGGAGCAAGACAAGGCTGTTCCTGAACACCCCACCAGTCCTGTTGATTCTACTTCAAAACCCACAGAATCATGCAAGTACTTTTTTTCCCCTAGATACACAAATGAGGATTTTGCAACTCAGCTAAGAAAGCAGATGACGGATTATGCGTGTTATATGATGCTTATCCCCATGGGCTGAAATAATGGTCAGGAACACACATTCCAAGTCGGATTACAAATCCCAAAGTCTTGCTTGTACTGCCCTCATGTGTTCTAATCGGATTTGACATCAGCCTTCCAGCCTCCAGCGATGAGCATTTCAACCAAACGTGCGAAAAATTCACACGTAAAACTGAAGATTTTGCACTAATCCGTCTTGTTTCACACATATGTCACAGCAGGAGAGAAATTAGACTATTTCCACGCAAATGTGTTCAAGGAGCTATCTACAGAGGTTTAAGTGACAATAATGTGCGTTTTTAGAAGCAGCTTATGTTTGAGTTTCACTGCAGGTGTACATGGTCACTAAAGCAGGCAAACTGAACTTGTGCTACTCGACCTGTCATGATGTTAAGCCGGACAGATGCCCTGTGACTAGTCAAGGCATCACCATGTGAATTAGGTCAAGGCGCGACAGGCTCTGTAAGACCCTTTAAATACACGGATGTGAAATTCCTGAGCATTTCCAGCCAAGCCAGGGACTCCCAATTCTGGACCCATTGCGTTTCTGAAGTCACTTAAAATTTCCGAAGTCTGAGTGGAAGAGAATGCCGTGCGAAGGTACCAGCCGGGCAGTGAAGCATTTAGCTCTGAGCTCGGCTGCAGTGCACGCCAGCAGGTGTTGGGGTGCCCCAGGGTCAGGAACGGGAGCCCCTGATCTCAGCACATTATTGCTTTGCTAATCCTGGACTGTTCGATGTCCTCATGATTTATCCGGGATTCCAAATTCCACTTGCTATCCTGCACGGCCCCTACGCTTTACTTAAATAATGGCGGAAACCAAACACAGCAGCAGATCATAACACTCCAGGACGTGAATTTAAAGCAACCCTGGTACCAAAAAGCCTGGTGGGTCTACAGCTCTTCAGT